GCGGGGCCGGGTGCGGGGGGGCGGAGGTGTCCGCGGGGGTCCCGAGGTTCGGGCGGGCGCGGGGCTGCCCCGCGGGGTCCGGGGGTCAGTGCCCCCCGCTGCGGGGGTCCGAAGATCAAATTCCGAACCGGGCTTCGGCCYCGGGGTGACCCACGTGACAACCCCGGTTGTCGGCATATGCGGCTCGTCCCTGCCTTTCTAAGGATAACATCATAATAACAATCCTCTGGTTTGATGTGTGTGCGCCCGAAGCTCATGTTTGATCAAGAGGGATGACACCCCTGAGGTTATTGATATGCTCACGATACTCGGACTAATACAACAGAAAGATTCCCACAAGAAATGAAAGTTAAAAAAACATTCCATAGAAGACAAATCCTTCGTATTTATAAATTATCATTCCAATGTTGGTCCAATTCGGAAATTTTTAATTTTATTTGATAAGTTTTCGTCGAAATATGAGTTTTCCCTTCCAACTACATCTATTTGTTCAAGATGGAATGAAAGTCTGAACGAGTTTATGAAATGTCTCAATTAAACTTTCATTCAACTACAACGAATATCTTCTAATTTAGATTGGATTAACKGATTTAGATTGGATTAACTCATCCAGAATTTCATTCCATCTCTAGCATGCAGTTCAAATAAGAAGGGATACCACATTCTTGGAATGAAAGTTCTCAAGTAAGACGGAAGTTTTTAAAATTAGAATGATATTTTTTAAGATGGAATGAAAATTTAAAATTTAAAATGTAATTTTACTATAGATTCAGTATAGAATGATTATTTAATTCTGGGAATTTTTTTTTGTAAGGCTCGTGCAGCCACAGGTGATAAGGGCGGTTCGAARAGGAGTGCCATCTGGACTGGAAACTGGTAGCGAGCTGCAGGAAGTCGTAGATCGRTCGAGGTCTGAACGTGGGCAAAAAMCTTGTTTGAACAAATTAWTTGCATCATGATTTTTTTCCCTTTCCCCTCAGGGCTGTCGAGAACCGACTGAGAAAGCGTTCACCCGACTATCYTGCGTCCCCACTCGATGAAGGAAGGTTGGGACTATTTGTTAGGGCAACTTCCTCAGACTGATCCCTGAAGTGGCATACTCAAACCGTTAATGTTCTTTGCGAGCATTTGCTCGGTTGCCRCATTTTCAGCAAGAAGGAGACATCAGAATACTCTTCTTGCCAGGGTSTGAGAAACAGATTACATGATTCAAGTAAGYCGGGGTAAAAACCTAGCCTAGCTACTTGACTGTCTGTCTATGACTTAACACTTTTTTGCTTACGCTTCGGTGGACAGTTAATT